CTTATTATGTAATTATGTTTATGATAAATAAATTATTATTTTTGTTATTATTATTATTAATTACTATGGACGTGTGCAAAGTTACGAACGAAAAGTCTACAGTATCCATTCTATATATGTATATTGCGTACTCGCAATAACGGTAATGTCTTATTAATATAATATGAATATATGATAAAAATGCCTATGCGACGACAAGTCGTTTTCTTAACTGCACAGGAATGTTCTAACTAGTCTGGCCATAAACACAAAAACTTTTCTTTTTATTTATTTTAAATTTGGAACACGCGTAATATTTTAAAAACTTAATTCGATTTCGCGCCTTTTCACATATTTTTTCGTGTTTATTATCAAATTACAATATGGAATGGGATGTTAAAGAACTCGAACTGGTAGACTCGAACTATCACCTGCGCAGTAGTGTTGCGCGTTGTCACACGTGAAACGTAACAACACTAATCGCCACAATTACTATTATTATTATTATAATGACTGTTATAATTAAAAAGATAAACAAGCTGAAGTAGAAGTAGAAGTAGAAGTCAGTCACGTAATTTAAAGAACCAACAACTGATGGCGAGAAATATAAAGCGAAGTTTCTCGACTGACGCGACCTTATACAGACAAACACAATATAAAACTTTCCAAGAGTCATATTGTTTTAAAACAAATGCACAAAAATGGAATTTAAAAAATGCTGTACCTAATTATAAAAACATTTACGAAACATTCCCCCAATTTTACTTTACCAAAGTTTAAATTGAGGATTTTCAACAAAAAAGCCGCATCTAATTACTAATTAGACAACATTTTGTTCTTCGCATAAAACAAAAAAAAAATTTAACTTTTTCTTTTCAAAAGTTATTACACGAGATACCTCTGCTTCTGTTTTTATTCAACTTATAAGACAATAGGTAATCTATCTTCCCTGAATTTATGTATTGGCGTGATTTTCTCGCAAAATTATACGATCCTTTGTCCGATTGGCTTTATGTAATGTAATTGTTTTCGGCTAACATCTATAAATCTTTGTTCTTTTTTTTTAATTATTACAAATAGTTTTTTTTTTTTATATACCATACAACTTAGAATGGCAAACAAGCTGACGGCCCACCTGATGGAAAGTGGTAACCGTCGCCTATAGACATGAGCAGTACCATGGACATAACAGAGTATACTGTTTCGCCCATGATACCCAACATGCGTTGCCATTCCTGAGGACTCAGGTGTTCACAACTACTTCACAGTAGAAACACAAATGGGACAGAGGTACCCAAGCAATCGACTTTTGTACAAAGTCTCCGTCTGGTAGTAATAGTAAACATATAAGAGTACTAAAAATTATCATATTAACTGTCCACTGCTGAACATAAATCTTCCCCATAAGGGGAGTTTTACCAGTAATTACCACGCTTAGTGGGATATTTTAAAAAGGACGCTGCTCCCCATCTCTCTACCATTATCCATCCTTAATCATCTCTTTCTACGCCCACGGGAAAGGAAGGAATAGTCTATTCTATGCCGGGACCACACGGCGAGTACTAATAATACTGCAGACTAAAAAGATTAAACTAAAACTAAATTAAAAACCATAAACTAAAGTTTCATTCCAACCATCTGGACGAGTGCCGGTCCTCACAGTGCGTTTTTCAAGGCACTTTCTCCCACGCACAACCACTCTTTGGAATCAACTTCCAGCAGCAGTATTTCCGAACCGATACGACAACATAACCTTCAAGAAAAGAGCATATTCCCTTTTAAAAGACCGGCAGCACACCTGCAATGCCGTTGGTGTTGTGGATGATCATGGGCGGCGGTAGTCACTTACCATCAGGTGAGCTGCAAGCTCGTTTGCCATTCCCGCAAGAAAAATATTGAATAAGCAAAGGTTTTATCAGCGATACATAACAGTTTTGGCAGAGCTCCGTCTAGTTTTATAAATGTCACATTATTTTAAGCTAGTACACACTGACTTAACAGACAGTATGTCGAATCAATTCCTTCTCTTGTCATGAGTTATTGTCAATCCGACGTCAATAAAATATATACCAAAATACTTAAATTGTATCATGGTATATAATTTACTAAACCTGAGTCAATCAAACTATAAAAATAAAAATGGTTTAAATAAAGGTTGAATACAGCGATTCAGGTATAACTAGAGAACTGTTTTCAGCCTGCTTATATTAAAATAATAAAACTCCATCACAGTTTCAGTTCATGTTTTTCCATTGTATTTTTATTGTAATTCATTCAGAGTATTGTTTATTTATTAATACTATATTGTACAAACAAATAAAGAGAAAAGATTGAAAGCAAATTCAAAATTCAAAAAACTGTTTTATCGTAAATACAATCACTTCCAGACAAACCTTTTTGCTATCTTATTTCTTGAGTATTGTATGTTGGTGATTTGAGATTACGTTAAGATATAGCTGGCGTTATGGCGGGAAACCTGGATTGTTTTTTTTTTTTTTTAAGTTAAGTAAAGGCCTCCATTCTATTCTTCCATATAGTTGGATGCAAACAAAATGCGCAATTATTCGGTGAATTTATCAATTACTCATATTGAACTCGAGTTTTGTGATTTATTAAATATTAATCAAAACGTTTGAAATTGATTTATTAATATTAGTCTGAGTGATGTTCACGTTTTTAAAGTTAGGCATTTAATATTCATTCTTCACTACCTTTTATTTACATTATAGATACTTATTAGTAAGTGAGAATCAAGAGATGTACTTTTTTGGCACTAAATATATTTTTTTTTTGTTACCGATACACGTTACTTTTGTGTTGGTCCCATTTTCATTTTATTACAATTAAAATCTGCTTACAGATACGAGATTTTATATTACTATTACGTTACATTCTGAATTATATATTTTAAATCTAATCCTTCTACAAAATATCCCATCGATCGTAGTGTGCTTTAGAGATTACCTAAAAACTTGACGACACGGCGACGTGACGACTACTACTGAATTGTTTGGTTTTTCCGACGCGAAATTTATTACACATAACAATTTGCTTTACAAAAAAAAATGTTAATTTATATATTCAGGATTTTAATGAACAATGTGTATACCTGTCTCAAACTTTAACTCTCGTCTTGTTATAAACGTCATACCGTTTTTATCGGGGCATATAATCGCCATAAAGTCGCTCTCAGCGACATATGTCGCAAAATGGCCGATTACAGGAGCTTCAGTAGCAGTTTCTGAACGAAACGTAGGATATAAAAAAAGATAAATCCGAAGTGAAGGGAACGAACAGATTTAGTACTCCACCTATAAAGTTTGATTAATTGAAAAAATATTATGGTAATAAAAAGGATATAATTTTCACAGAACGATTATTGTTTTGTAATATTTATTGTACATAATTTTTTCACATTAAAAGATTGAATATACAATGACGGACTTATATATATATATATATCCAATTTATTGGAATCAGACTTATTTTAAGTTATTCCGTTTTAGATTGCAATTACTATTCTCAATTTAGGGTCATTATTTCGAATTTTAAACCATTTTTCATTTTTCATCAATTCAAATTGTTGAAAGTTCCAAGAAAAAAAAAAGAAAGAACAAGTAATTTCTTACTTTTTTTTTCTTATATCATCATCATCATCACATCAGCCATCATCCATCCACTGCTGAACATAAGCCTACCCCATAGACTGTCATAAGGAACGGTCCTAACCTACCTGCATCCAGTGACACCTTGCAGTATATTTGAGGTCATCACCCCATCTAGTGAGGGTCATTCTACACCGCATTTGCTCATACGTGGTCGCCACTAAAGAACCTTCCTTCCCCATTAATTGTCGGTTCTTCGAGCTATGTGACCAGGCCGTTGCCACTTCAGGTTGCATATCCTTCGGGCTGTATCGGTGGCTTTGGTTGTTTTGGTTTTTGGTTTATTTCCGATTCTGTCACGCAAAGAGACTCCGAGCGTAGCCCTTTCCATAGCCCGCTAAGTAATTTGAAGCTTTTGCGTACAGGCAACTGTGTAGGACTATCTTTCGGTTCCATAAGTCATCACTAGCAACATGCACTGGTTAAAGAACTTCGTCTTCAAACCTTGAGGTATTTTTCTTGTATCTAATTATTTTTACAATGTATATTATTTTTACTCATATTATTGATAAAATATTGTCGCAATTAGAGTAAAATATTAAATCGTGTACGCCTATGTAAAGGAGTAGAAAGTTTAGACTCATTGTGCGGAAGCTGATATTTAAAAGGCAATAACAATCCAATACAGCGTGATAATCATAAAATATACGCATACATAGATGATAAACATGTTATAACACGTTTTGTATAGATATATCGTAATCTATATTCACTCACGTTATTCAAACAGGTCGCTGAATTTTAATCATTGAGTTTATTATTTCATTTTCTGTGCTCAGGTTTCATATTATTGTAACACTTGCTTTTACCCGCAACTGCATCCATATAATATGTCTTCTTTATTCCGTATAAGTACATATATACCAAATTCATAAACATTGGTTGAGCTGAAGAAAACACCAAAAGGTAAACATCTCAGAACATGGGGAATGGCGAGCTAAAAAGATTAATGTTCAAGATGACCCATGGCATTAAGAATTCGAACTTGTGTTAATGGGGACCGTCGTTTAACGGTCAGACAGGTGGCTGAAGAGTTTTATTTGGGCAAAACCGTGGTCCACGAAATAAGAAACGAACTTCAAATAAAAAAATAAAATAAAAATTCCATTAAACACCCCCCTATTCGCCGGATTTGGCCCCGTGTGACTTCTTCTTGTTCCCAAAAACCAAATTGGTACTTCGGGGGCGGCAGGTAGCAAACAAACAAACTCACTTTCACATTTATAATATTAGTAAGGATTATTCATAGATAAACAACACAATAGAATGATAATAGTACGTATTACTATCTACAATTACTGATAAAAAATAATTTTATCTAGTGTAAACTGGCCCGGCGCGTGTTCGCCTGTTCATAAACGATATAGTGGTTCTACGCATCGCCGGCTTTGATTAACTAATCTGTGCATTTTTTAAATTAAATTTTTGTCTAATTTGCACTAAACTAAAACTATTATTATAAAAAAATAAATGAAACTGAAATTACAAGTGAACTATAGTGATAAAAAGACATTATGATGGACATAAACAAATATCTTGCAACTCAACACGCGCTAACAAAACAAGCGTTTGATATTAAAAACTCTAAAAAGGAGACTGTTTAAAAAGTAAGGCCCCTGCACATTCTACGAAATCAAAGAAAAAGAACAAAAATCTTTCTAAAAAGTATAAAAGCGATATACAACTTGGTGAATTATCCCAAAACGCAACTTTGACAAAAGTATCGTGTGAAGATATAGAATCTGATGAAGAATATCTGCCATCGGAAGAAGAAATTGACAACGAGATTTCTATTTCACGTACATCATCGTCCCGAACAAAACTCAAATTGAAGAAAATAATTGATGATGGAGATCAAAATCATTATAATTTAAGGATAAAGCGCTCAAAAGAAAATCAAGTTGCTGCGTACTCAGGTAATTACAAAGGAGATATTGTCTCTGCAGATATTAAATATATTATGGATGGGAAAAAAGAATTTGATAAAAAACGTGAATTACGAAATGGTTTAAGCATACCGAATTATATTTGGAAGCAACTGTATAAACATCAAAAAGTTGGAATAAAATGGTTATGGGAACTTCACCAAATGCAATCTGGAGGGCTACTTGGTGATGAAATGGGTTTGGGTAAAACAACTCAAATTATCGCTTTTTTGGCGGCATTATCAAACTCCGATATTGGAAAATGGAGTGGACTTGGGCCTTCTATTATTGTTGCACCAGCGACAATAATTTATCAGTGGGTTTCACATTTCCATTATAATAAACTTATTAAAGATGTACATCAGTATCGTGGTATTTTAGTAATGACATATGCTGGTATTGTAAAATATTCTAATTACATATTAGCCAAGAAATGGCATTATATTATTTTAGATAAGGGTCATAAAATTAGAAATCCCAACACACAAGTTAGTAAAATTATCAAACAGATAGACACACCTCATAGAATTATTGTAACTGGATCGCCACTGCAAAATAATTTACAGGAACTCTGGTCAATTTTTGATTTCATAATTCCAGGATTGTTGGGGGCATGTAATGCATTTATGGAACATTTTGTGGTACCAATAACACAAGGAGGTTATGCTAATTCTACTCAACTTCAACAAGCAATAGCATTAGAAATTGCCAAAGCTTTAAAAAACATAATAACGCCTTATATATTAAGAAGAACAAAGGCTGAAGTTCAAGACAATATAAAATTACCTGAAAAAAATGAACAGGTTTTATTTTGTGCTTTAAGTCAAGAACAAAGGGATCTGTATATAAATTACCTTAAGAGCAATACTGTTCGACGAATCAAAAATTATAAGTTTAGTGATCCTCTCAGAGCAAGGATTTTGATAGCATTATCTACTTTACGAAAAATTTGTAATCATCCGGATTTATATCTTAATAAAGCACAACAAAATATTAGAGATGTTGATATAAATGAAAATGGCCATTGGAAAAGATCTGGTAAAATGAATGTTGTGAACTCTTTATTAAAAATTTGGCAAAAACAGGGTCATAGAATTTTAATATTTTCTCAATTCCGTGCAATGGTAAGTATATTGGAAAATTATTTACAAGGTCAGCACTATAAATATTTAAAAATAGATGGTTCTGTAAGTGTCAACCAAAGACAAAACTTAATTACAATTTTTAATGAAACGCCTGAATATTTTGTATTTCTTTCTACAACAAGAGTGGGGGGATTAGGTGTTAATTTAACAGGGGCTAATCGTGTTATTATATACGATCCAGATTGGAATCCAGCTACTGATAACCAGGCTACGGAGAGAGCTTGGAGAATAGGTCAAGAAAAAAATGTTACAGTTTACAGATTACTTTCAGCGGGTACCATAGAAGAAAAAATGTATCAGAGACAAATATTTAAACATTTTTTAAGTAACAAAATTTTAATAGATCCTAACCAAAAGAATATCTTAACCACAAGTACTCTCCAAGATTTATTTATGCTAGAAGAAGCAAATCGCGATAGAGATACTGAGACAGCTTCACTTTTTAAATGTACAAAAGTCAATGTTACTTTCAAAGACAAATATAAAAATATTTCAAGTTCTACGTCTAAATCAGAAGAAATAAGAAAACAAATGAGAGAAATAAGCAAAAAGTTACCAAAAGCAACAAAAAAATCTAAAGTAATACAAATAGAAAAAGTTTCTATGCAAAGATATGAGCATAAAAGTAGTCTTGCAATGAATATTCCTAAAATTTATTCATCTGAAATAAATTTAGTTGATGATAAGTTAACTAGTACATCATTTGAAAAAGTGACTTCTGAAATAGAGATAAATAATAGCCAAATAAAAAAAGACTACGAAGAAGATTTTATCCAGCACGTAATAAACAATCGAAAACAGATTCCGTTAAAAGGAGAAATCACTAATGAATCGCAAATGGAAAATAAATACAGTAGAAGTGATAAAATACTAAGCGAAAGTGAAAATGCTGCGTTTAAAAGACATGAAATCACTAAAGATGGGATAAAATACAAAAATTCAAACACAACACAAAATAATAAGAAGCTAAAACGAAGGTATTCTGAATTGGAATTATCGATTTCAGATAACCTATTGGCCGTTAAGAAAATGAAAAACGAAAAACATAAAGAGATAACTAACGATGATGATTATATATTGACTAAACTTTTTGCTAACGCTATTGTTAAAAATGCATTGCTACATGAAGCTGTTGTGGGATTATCAGAAAAGGAGAAAAGGTATAGATTAAAAGAGGAAGCTTTAGAAAAAGTCAAATTAGCTTTGCAAGCTATAAAATGTTTTTCGTCTTTATCTTAAATAAATTAGAGTATATTACTACACGACTTTTATTTAATACAAAGTATTAATTTTATTCAAGATTACAAAGTATCATTAATAAATAAATAAATACAAACAAGGAGTACATTAAAAATAAAATCATAATTACTGATGATAATCATGACATGTCTTCAGGATAAAACGTATCTGTTGCATCTATTTATATCTCTTTATTATTATTATAATAAAATAGTCATTTTGGTGTCCATCTATTTGCTGTTAATTTAACGAAATTGATTATTAGCTTAATTTTAATAGATTACCTTCTTTTATTTGGCATTTGAATAAAATTAACATGTCATAATTTTGTAAGAATCGATAGTAAATTACAGATTAGATCCCCTACCATAATAATGAAAAATGAACAATTTAAAATTGCAATTTTAAAATTAGTAAAAACCACTTTTATATTTTCAATTATTAAATACAATTTAACTCTTTATTGAAAAATTAAACTATTAGAAGATTAAAAACCATAAAAATAGATAAAAATATTCTTAATAAAATATTTTCATTCATTTGATAAGGAAGGACTTCAATATCAGGAGTAAAAAATCATGCCCACAAATTTTAAAAGGTCAGCAACACACAAGCCTTCACGTGTTGCAGGTATTATATATATATATATATATATATATATATATATATATATATATATATATATATATATATATATATATATATATATATATATATATATATATATATAACTGTATACAATATATGTTGTACAATTTGAACACAAAAAAAAGTAAAAAAAAATATAAATCATAAATCGCTTTTATTGAAAACCCAAGATTTTATTTCATGGAAATCATAAAGAAATCTGAATAAAATTGGGACAATAATTTTACGCACGTGTATAATAGAATACGATACAGAACAACCCTCGACTCTGGAGTTATTTTTTATGATTGAAATTTTCGACATAATTTTATGATATTCAGACGATCTTTCGTACAAAAAAAGCTGTATATAAATGTAAATTTATTATTACTATAATTTAAATTACATAGCACTAATAGTTTACCTATATTTTTTTTTTACATCTGAGCTATTTCTCCTAGAATTATTTATCGATGATTGACTTTAATTTTTGCGAAAGCAAATTTATTCCAATTTATATTTTATTATTTTACTAGCTTTTATACGCCTTTTATGTTCACTGACCGAGATAAAAAACCTGTGTCCTTTTGATTCTACATACTATAAATTCAAGTATAAATTTCGATTTAAACTGTGAAGTTGCCAAGACGTCTTGTCTGTCCTGGCATACTACTTTCACATTTATATTATTAGTAGGGATTTTATTGTTTAATTTTTATATTTTTAGGCATATTTGAATAACAAATATTCAACATTATTCTTACTAATAAACTGTTACATTATTATTATTATTATCAATAACATATTGAATGATGGCAACTCAGTTAGATATACTTAATTCCGGGGATTCTAATATCAAATCTAAACATCAGATTTTTTCAAACGACTTAAAAAAAGGAGGTTCTAAATTCACTTGTACCTTTTTTATGTTTGTTACCTCAGAACTCCGTCGTTATAAAGCGATTTAGAAAATTACTTTTCTTTTTTTATCTAAAGAGATGTACTAGATGGGGTCTCATAGAAATTTTACATAAATCATTTCTTTCAGTTTGATTTTTAAAACAAAATAACTAATTTTGCCACTATTCAATATTTTTTTGTATACGAGTATGTATTTTTTTTTTATCTTTTTTCACTGTACATTTATGTCTATTATTGTTTGTGTGCTGTAAGTAATGCAAATAAATTATTTATCTATCTATTGTTTTTTTAATGGGTGGGAACGTACTAGTAACAACCCTGCCTGCGCTATCAACATAGACTAGTGGAGCACCCGTGGGAGATGATAGGTGAGGTTAAAAAGCAAGGCTCTACCGTGAAATGAAATTCCGAATTTTGGGACTCAATTTCGTGTTTCCGAACGGAAATCGCCCCAGTAAATGGAGCTTAACATTTCGTTCCTCATAAATCCTACTATAAAAGTCCAAAGAAACGATATTTTATGATTAATATTTTTTAAACGTTATATAATATGTAATTTTAACATCCAATTTGTGTTTGGTTCGGCCCCGAAATTTTCATATTTTCCTCTAGTTAATTAACTCATCGTGACAAATTCCACTAGAACTAACCACAATGGTTTCCAAGTGGAACCAATTGAGGGAAGAAATTGTTACTGTTAGGATCTAACAGGCCCATTGCTAGCAATGTAGGGTATATTACTAGCAATTAGGCTTTTTACATGTTTATCCCGATACTAACAAACCTTTTCCCCCAATCGGTATTATTACATAATACGTATTAAAATTTTGTTTCACAAGGAACAAAATCTTCAATTATTGTTATTAAATCTATGTTTGTCAGCCATCTTCCAATAAGTGACGTCATAGGTTTCCGTGTATAACGGAGGCGGCCTAGAAACTCTTACTACCAAAGGGCACCACCTTCATATAAGTACTATAATACAAATTCAAAAATGACATTGGTTATTCGCATTTACATACAATTTAATTTAAGGTCTCAAGCTACTTGTATATTTGATCAATGGTCACTCAAATTGCGACCGTGTTGTGAATAAATATTAGATCCACTCAGAACAATCCGGAGACCCGGACAACATATTTGCATATTATTTATTTTGGTTTTCCAAAGATAACAAACGTTTGGACCTCGGTAATACAATTGACTAATCAAAGTTTGGAGTGTCTTCTACATCGTGAGTTTCAATGATATATGTGTAATAGACAAACAAAAGAAGGTTCTAAAATTATCTGAATTTTTGTGTGAACATGTAATTTACTATTTTTATGATTATTTTTAAAATAACAGATTTTGTGTCGGTCTTGTGGTATATATTAAAACAAACTCCAAAACTTTAAATGAAACATTTGAAGTTAGAAAATTGATAGATAAATATACCGTATGCGTTTTCATATAATGTTCAATTTGGACTAGTAAGTCAATTTTGAAATTTTGAGTGTCTGTTTTTTACCTCCTATCAAAGAAAATAAAAATAATTGTAAAGTTATTTCCATTGCAACAATATGTGAAACTATTTAAAGTTTAAAATTGATAGACGAAACAAAATAGAATATATAACTAGTCTGCCAATAAACATTGTTAAATAAAAACTTTTCTTTTTTCAACTTTTTAATTATTTAGAATTTAAAACACGTTTATTATTTTAAAAACTTCATTCGATATCGCGCCTTTTCACATATTTTTTCGTGTTCATTATTAAATTACATTACGGAATGGGGTGTCAAAGAAAATAGAATTGCATTGATCGCCTTGTACAAAGTGGGTATGGAGCCGTCGGTCATAATAAACATAAAAAATATACGACCGAATTGAAAACATTCTTCTTTTTGAAATCGGTTGAAAATATATATATATATGTTTATTCCCTAAATGTTTTTCCCCGACCACCAGTAAAGCAATATATTGCACCGAACACGTTATTTATTGACCTACGCGATCCTTTTAATGATACGTAATATTTTTTGCAGCAAACATCAAGTGCATACCGTCATTTTAATTTACAGGTTAAAATTCCATATATCATCATCTTCCTACCTTTATCCCAATTATTATTTGGGGTCGGCGTAATATGATTTTATCCATATTACAAAAGGATCTGGCTTATAGTTTTACAACCGGCCGCCTGCCTGACGTCAACCCTAGGTTAAAATTCAGGTTAAAATTCCATATATATATATATATATAGAGAGAGAGATATATAGAGAGATATATATATATACTCTTTGCCCTATATATATATACAAAATAATAATAATGACAAAAGGACTTTAAGTCCTTTTTAAGACTTTAAGTTTAAGAATGTAATAGGGTCTAACATAACAGTCCCAATAATACCCTATCAGGTCAACCTACGCGCGACTCCCCCTGGAAACCTGAAAAGCAAGCAAGCGAAGGAATAAGCGAGCAAGCAATATACTAGCAATATATCCTACATGATTAACCTCCACGCGGTTCCACCTAGAAACCATCATCTTGTGAAGACGATGGTTTCTAGGTGGAACCGCGCATCTTCACCCACACATCACAGGCGAGGACACTACTTCAGTTTCAGCCACTAAAAATATGTTAATTGTTATTTCTTATTATTTATTTATACGTTACTATTATTTATTTATTTATTATTTATTTATAGGTTACCTTGACTAATGGTTTGATATTACCTTAAAACCTATTAATATAATAAATACGTATGTTTGTATCATTGGATAGATAGATTTTTTTATACAACTTAGAATGGCAAACAAGCTGACGGCCCACCTGATGGAAAACGGTAACCGTTGCCTATAAACATGAGCAGTACCATGGACATAACAGACTATACTGTTTCGCCCATGATACCCCCCCATGCGTTGCCATTCCTGAGGACTCGGGTGTTATTCCTCCGTACCCTGTAAATTCACGCCATATCCCATCCTTCAAACTGTAACACAGCCATGCAACCACAGCTGTTTCACGGTTGAAACACGAATGGGACAGAGGTACCCAAGCAATCAACTTTTGTACAAAGTCTCCCTCTGGTGATATATAGATGGATGTTTATTAATCTTTCACGCAAAAACTACCAAACAGATTTGAATGAAATTTAGTACACACGCAGGTTGTATCCTAACTTAATACACAGAATACCTTATGTACTGATTCCCGCAAGTGAAATCGAGAGATACAGTCAGTAATAAATAAAGAAAAATATATATAAATACAAAGCACACGTCACGCAATTCACTCCCACGATGTTTCATTGTCTCGAACATGTTACAATGAAAAAATTCATTATATTTTCAGCATAACTGAAAGATTATATTGCGAAATAGTCTTATTATAGAATAAGTATTCTTTCAGCATTCATAATACAGAACATTTCTACTTAATAACACGAAAAATATTTTGTCTGAAGTACTTACGTACCTTGC